TCTATTCTCTGTTGTTTGTGGAATCCAAGGAGGTTTTTTCCTGGTTTTTATTTTTAGAGACTTTCCTGTTGCATCTAGTCATTGGTAGTGTCTGCACATGATTGAAAGTAGGGGCTTGTAGGAGATTGAGAGCCCTGAGCTGGTATAAGGGGCCTATTGACACTGAGCTGGCCACAAGGCCTGGGGTGGGGGCAAGGGGGTCCCAGGATTGAAGGAGGGACATGGGGCTGGGTGTGAGCCCCTACCCCGCCCAAGCTGGGGGGGGGGGGGCTGTTAGTTGCATGCTCTGATGATAGTATCTTTCCATCTTGCCTTTTACCTGGTCAGATCATCTAGAGAGTGCTCTGCCTCCTATCTGGAGGGGAAGGATCTAGCTGCCAGCTGTGTGGGTATCTAATGGAGAAAGAGGTCTCCTGGTATTTAGGTTGTACGTGGCTACCTAACCCCTTGTTTTTGGTAGAGCACTCATATCTTCCCCTGTGCCAGTCTAGCTCCATTCCAGAGACCTCTGGTTTACATTTTCCGGAAAGTAGACCTTTAGTTTTCTGCAGAAGTGTCAAGTGCATGGAAGGAGCTTGGGGGGTGGGATGGCGATCCAGCTTTTCTCAGCTCCGCCCCTGTCTGCTGCAGGGAATCCCACCCCTCCTTCCAGAGTGGCAGCACTTCCTGAGCCTTCGGAGGAATCTCGGGTGGTTCTTGGCTTTCCCACTGCTGGCTTGTAATTACACTTTCTCAGATCTGCCAACTACAAATCAGTCTGCTTTTCAGCTTCCAGAATTCTGTTGCTGTTGTCTGCTTTCCTGTTCTCCCCTGGGGGGTTTTTCTTTTTTAATTGTGGTAAAATACACAAAATATAAAATTTACCATTTTAACCATTTTTAGGTATACAGTTTAGTGGCAATAAATACATTCACATTGTTGTCTGTATTTTTTTTAATAATAAAACAAATTACAAATAAAAGATTGTTTAATGTGATTATAGTCATTTTTTGGGAGAGAGCAAAATTAGACGTGTTATCAATCTAACAGGAGGCCTGATGCGGGTCTTCTCTTAATCCAGGAGTGATAGGATTTGTTCCGCACCTCCTAGGAAAGCAGTTGGATAGTCTGATGGCATAAAAGTGCATTTTATCTGTTTTTAACAACTATAGCTTTGTGGAAGATTGCAGTTGAAACTCCCAGGCCTGGCACTCGAGGCTCTTCAAGATCTGGCCCCCCTCCCGGGTCCTCCAGCCATCTGCCGTGCCTCCCACCACCCACTCACTGTTCTGGCATAAGATGGGTCTCCAGCCCTCTTGCCTTTGCCACGAAGGGTGTTCTGGAGTAAAATATTCCCCCTTCTGTCTCTGCTCTCTTCCTCATCTTTCAGCTTCCAGCCTCTGTCACTGCTTCTCACCCTAGGCCAGTGCTCAGTCCTCTTCATTTTTCCTCCCGGGACCTTGTACATACCCCTGAATTACCACCTTGCCTGTCCCATGCTGCCTGGCTCTCTTTGATGTCTGTTTCTGTACCAGGTCTTCTCAATGCCTGGTGCTCAGTTAAATGTCTGGATGAATTCCTGAAGCCAAAGATCTCAAAAGAAAACTCTTTATCTTTTTTTGTAGGATATCCGACACGAAGCCAGTGACTTCCCATGTAGAGTGGCCAAGCTTCCTAAGAACAAAAACCGAAACAGGTACAGAGACGTCAGTCCTTGTAAGTATCCACGTGGCAGTACAGGTCTCACTCTTGCTCAGCTGCAAGGCCTTTCAGCCAAGACTCCTTTAGCCCTGGGGTTTGGTGATAAACCAGTAGCAGCAGAGGTTTATGACTTGATTGTTTCCTATAATAAAGGAATTAGAGACTTATAGTAATGGTTCATTTCTCCACCATTGTAGAAGGAGTAAGGTTTCAGTTTCTGGAAAATGCAGCGAAGTTCAAAGTACATTTTTTTAGCTTTGACTGTTTTTGTGATGAATCATTTTCCTACCAGCTGAAGCAGAGTATAGCAGGCATAATATAACCTTTTCTGCGTGACTCAGCGACAGTATTATTAGACCCCAAGCATTGTGCTGAGCTGTGATTGTGGTCTGCACAGGCATTCAGGGGTGGGGGCTGTTCATCCGCTCCGATGAATGTGCAAGTCGGCTCTGCTTCGAGTCCCCCCAACCTGTCCCCCACCTTTGTTGTTTTTCTCCTTCTTTTCTGCTGTTAGCTCTTGCTTCTGGTTATCAGTGTGCCTGCTGGCCTTTGGCAGCCTCCTCTGCCTTCTGAGGGATTGGCTTTCAATCTGCTGACATCTTAGATGTCAGTAACTAAACATGTTAGAATTTGTGTAAAGTAAGGAAAACCAAAACAGTATAGGACCTGAACTTTGCCATCTTCTCTAGGCCACAGAAACCTTTTCGACTCCCCTCCAGAGTCTTTAGACGTTGTCAGTTGGAGCAGGCTTGTGGCTGCTGACGTCTCCATGGCAGTATGCTCTGCCAGGGGTGCAGAAGATTCAGTAGTCAGTCCTCCAACGGGCACTTTCTGTGTGTCCTGTGAGTGGCAGCTGTCAGTGCTCTCTGCCAGGAGGGTTGGCAGTGCATCCTGCCCTGACTGTGTGGCACCTAGATTCCGGGAAGGGTCATAAAAATGGAGCTAGAATTGGTACAGAGCATGTGCCTCTTGACCTGCTGCTGTGGTGCCCTGCCTGGGTTTGTACCTCAGCTCTGCCACTTAGAGCCCTGTGGCTTTGGGCAAATTGTTCTCCTCTTCGATCTTCACTAAAATAGGAGTCACACCTCTCTCATAGGAGTGTGTGAGGATGAAATGAAACAACATAAGCCACTTAGCCCAGTGTCTTGCTCAGACGTAGTTAAGTACTCAATAAATGTTGGCTGTAGTAGAAAAGGATGTTGCCAGGAACATCTGAAGTGCAATTCTAGGTTAATAGGTGACGTGATTGCACCCCAACAACTTATACTCTTGATTTAGCAAATGTCTAGGCTGAGGCGCCTCATAGGTATTTATTTAAAAACAAAAAACCTCGGTGATCCGCTATGAAGTCCTGGCCAGAAACCTCCAGACAGCTGATCTGAGTGCAACAGAACAGTCACTGTCCACCTCTTTCACACAGTGCCAGGATACCCTGCGTCTCTAGCTCTTGCCATGCTTGCTCTGAATTTGGGAATGTCTATGATATTCCTTCGCTACACTTTTTATTATTCCTCATCTAAATGGTTTTATGACCCAGTTTTACAAGGAAAAAACAGCAATTAAAATGTTGTTCCAGGGAAACAATTCCCAAACTTTTTCGCCTCCAATCTCATTGCTCGTATTTCTCCCCTACTCCTACCCTCCAGTAGAAGAAGTAATTATTAAGGTTGTAGGGAAAATGGAGAGAATGATTGAAGGTAGCAGGTGACCTACTGCCCGTCTCACAGTGCTAGTGCTGATGACAACAGCAGCAAGTTACTGGGCACTTGCCTGGTCCCGAGTGCTGAGCTAGGCCTTGTACACACATTACTCATTGACTCTAACTGCGACCCTCTTGTCACCTACCATTCAGCAAGCAGAAACAGCAAGGCTCAGAGGTTGAGTTATTTGCCCAAGGTCAACCAGTACTATTTGAACCCACTCGCATAACCCACTAATGCCAGTCATAGTTTGTTTTGTTTTTTGAGACCTTATATCTCTATGATCCACTTAAAAATTACCTAAATGTGTCAATTTGTATTAAGCTTAGAGTTCATCATCCCTTGTGCCATGCCAGAAATAAAAGTACCCACCCGCTGTTATTATTAATAGCTACACTAACAGGATGGGGAAAGTGGCCCTCAGGGAACCACTGCTTTTCTGACAAAGTAATGATGAGAGAAAAAAAGTGACTGCGTTTTTTTCAGTAACCTGGGGCAGAACTTCCAAGTGACGTTATTTCTAAAAACTAATCTAAAAGGTGCATTTAGTACAGTTTCAGTGTTTTGGATTTGGAGATTTTTCCAGTTAAATTTTATTTAAATATCTGTGATTTGATTAAGATATGTTCTGAATTTGAAAATTTTAGGATCATTTAAGTTCATTATACTTGAACTTTAGAAAAAAAGAAAATTTTTTTATAAAGGAATTCAAGGTATGACTTTTGACGCTGCTGTGTACTTAGGTCATTTAATCTTGAAACCACTGGACATAGGGTAGGTTGAGGTGCAATCATAAATCCTACTTATTATAGTTCATTGTACCAACTACAGCTGTGGGGCTGGGTGGAATTTTTGGTGCATTTTGTTCCCTTTTAAAGATTGAAGCCACTATATTTTTTACCCTTTAAAAGTTTGTGTTAAGCATCAGAGAACAGATCCTTTGATGCCCCTGTCAGGCCCGTCAGGTTTAGGGGAGAGTGATAAGCATCATGGGAAGATATGACCTAAGAACAGATTTCCCGAGTAGGACATGTATATGTTTTAGTGTAGTTTATCGCTGTTGCTGTGTAGTGTGAAGTTTCAAACACTTTAGAAAAGCCTTTCTGAAAACACCAGTCACTCCACATGGATGACGAATCTTAACTAAAACAGCAAGGCCTCAGCCACTGTGAATGGCCTCACTGCCATCAAGTCACCTTTGCTTTTCCGTGGGGTGCACTGCCTGCGTGTAGACGCTCTGTTCCTCCAGGGTTAGCCTCTGAGTTCTGGTTTGTCTTTCAGTTGACCATAGTCGGATTAAGCTACATCAAGAAGACAACGACTACATCAATGCTAGTTTGATAAAAATGGAAGAAGCCCAAAGGAGCTACATTCTTACCCAGGTAAGCAGATTTTAATGTCAACTTAAGAATTTTAGAATGCTGTTATCTACACCTCAAATAAAATCTGCCACATACCTTAGAAGGTCTGGTTTTAAACAAACCAAAAGCAACAAGTGAGGAAAAAAATTCTTCCTTCAGAGGTTCATTTTGTTTGTAGCACTAAACTTTTTGGGGAAGTACGATATGACAGTGCTAGGAATGAGAGCTTATGGAAAGCAGCATTAACGTGTCAGAATTGCCTGCAGTCTGGACAGAGGCAGCAGAGCTGTGGCGGGGGGAGGGCTCGTACCTGTGTTGATTCCGGAAGTATTTGCCCCAGAGCATCAAATGCTTCTGATGGCAAATCTAAGAGAGTTGGCAGTAGACCAGGAATCTTTGTCCAGACAGCCATTCAGATCAACCCAGCAGGTCCTCATTCTTTAGTCCAGAAAAAGCATCATTAGATCACGTGAACAAGCATGAAAATCCACTTAAAATTCCTATTGGCTTTTGGCATCTTTATGGAAAAAAATCATGAGAGTGGTTTAATAATTGAACCTCTTGTAAAACACTTAATGGTATGTGACTAAAAGACCGTAGGTATCTGGGAAAGGGGATAAAGTAGTTTCTTTTTAATTAATTTTCTTAAATCTTAACCTGTTACCTGTAAGTTGGTCTAAACAGTCTAAGTTTCTTGTTCTATTTTTCATTGTACTTTTGTTTTCCCGTTCCATATCAGCTTATCAACCTTATATGTGGCTTTAGGCTATAGGGTGATTTTTGAACATCATAATTCTTAATATTTGAAAATTAAAATTCTGGGGAAGCCAGAAACATTGTGCAGAAGGGCAGCTTTGGGCAGGGAGCTAGATTAGGGCATATCCAGCAAAGGCCCTTCTTCAGGGCTTTTTGGTCCTGTCCCAATTCCTCCCTGTCCATGACCAAAATCAGCCCAGGTGTCTCCCGGTCAGTGCGTGGAGCATCACCCAAGCTGTGTGTAGTCTCGTGGGGCCATCGAGGAATTTCTTGCTGTGTGAATACAGGGAGGCCTTTGCCAGGTCCTGAGCCCCTGGTCTTCCCAACACCTCTAGGGTGTTTAGGGTGGGCTGGTGGGGGCTGGTAGATGCCTAGGGGCGGCAAGCTGATGAGAAGAGGTTGAGGCAAAAGTGGCTTCTTGAGGACTTTTCTTTTTGGAAAAGTCCAATTTCCTACTTCCCGATTTCAGCCATTCAACTTGGACGTGGGGTCAGGAAGCTCTTCAGCCATCGTATACCGTCAGAGGGTGTGTAATGTCAAATGGAGCATTAGGAAATCACCATGAAAACTCATACCCCTGTCCTGCCCACCCCATGCCCTAGCAGGTCCTTGGGACTTGTGGAATTCTGTCCTATTTAGGATGTTGGTAAGCTGCTTACACTGTCTCCCTTTACCCTGGGATTTACAAAAGGAATCAAATCAGTCGGACCCCAAAGGAGCACCCCTAGACACTATAACTAAAACATTTCACAAGCCCCAAAACTCTTCCCATTTTTTTATTTTCAAAATTCATTATGCAAATAATACCAGTCTCTATTCTCATATTTTAAAAGAAGTATAGAAAACTAGAGAATAATGTACAAGGGGCCCCTTCTTTACCTCGCCCATGACGTATCAACTAGGTGTGAGCTGTGCCCTCACAGGTTGTATGCGATTGTCACCCTCCCGACACATCCTAAACCAGGGTGGTGTTGGGGGGTGGGGAGGGCCCTGGGTGAGTAGTTGAGAGTGTCGTCATGCCCGGGGCGGAGGATGGAAGGCTCAGTTAGCCAGCCAGGCGCCATGAGATTTCTGGTTGCCAGGAGCTGTTGTCCTGTTAGCTGTGGGGAAGGGGCAACCCACGTGTTCTGCTACTGTCTGAGTCCCTGCTGCGCAGTGCTGAATTGTCTGGGTTCAGGCAGTAAGTTCGAGATGAGTTCTGGGAAGAATGAGAGGGCACCAAGGGCTAGTGTGGTCAAACAAAGTGTGACAAGACTTACAGGGCACGGATTTAAAGAATAAGGACAACCTGGGTGAAAGTAGACGAGAGGCGGTGCTGGCCCGCGGAGGTAACAGGCTCTGACGTGGAGGTGATAGGTGGTGTCCCTTCCAGGCGGTACTGACAGTGGGTACAAACTCCGAGACATTCATACCCTGTGCCCATTGCCAGGTGGGCTGGAGTGAGACAGGCTCTAGCTGCTCAGCAAACACCCCACCGTGCCCCAGTGACAGTGTACTGCTTGGGCCACCTGAATGACCATTTGTGTGTCCACATCTCTTAAGTTCCTTGGTCTAAGGATGAAGGCTGTCTGTGGTCAGGCTCGTCCTTACTAATAATAAGCATAGTAGCTGGCATTTTATTAGGTACTTACTGTATTTCAGGGACTGTGCTAAGCCCTTTATATATATGAATATAGTTAATTTTCACAAGTCTATGAATAGGTACTGTTGTTAGTCAAGTGAGATAGATGGGGAAACTGAGGCATGGAGAGGTGAAGTGATTGCCTAGCATCACAAGATGACAAGTGATTGGAGCTGGGGCTCAAACTGAGAGAAGCATTAAGATTGGTCCTGTCCCCACACTGCTTCGCGCCTGCACCCACGAGTTTTGTCCTGTAGTGCACCTGCTCTGAGGGGTGGGTTTCGGTGGGGCCCCTCAGCCGGCCAGCCTGAGCCAGAAAGCAGCATCAACGATTTCTGTCCCGGGTTGGTCAGCCCTGAACTGAGATGCAGAAATGACCTTTCACTGTGTGGAAGAAAATAGAACAACAGTTACCACTAGGCAGGAAGAGGCGGGTCTCTGTCTCAGCCTCGGCCACCGCTCTGCCTCAGCTGGGGAGGCCCAAGGGTGCCGTCATCCGCTAACCACCAAAGGTGAGCTCACGCTGTGGTATGTTTATGTTTCAGATGTCACACGTTGTGTAATTGTGTTTGCAGGGCCCTTTGCCTAATACGTGTGGACACTTTTGGGAGATGGTGTGGGAACAGAAAAGCAGGGGTGTTGTCATGCTCAACAGAGTGATGGAGAAAGGGTCGGTAAGTCGTGGATTCATTTGCCATTTATGTCACCGTGTGTATACCAGTCCACAGAGTTACCATTTTGTCTGAATTTCTTCATTTTCCTTATTACTTGTATATTTCCGTTAGTATCATTTTTATTTAAAAAAAAAAAAAAAAAGTAGTGCTATGTAAACATGTGTGTTGTAAGCAAGGCAATTAAGAGAATAAAAAGGGGGGAGGAAAATTGCCCTTGACTCCTTCCCAGCCCCATCGGTCGTCTCTGCAGAATGTGACGTGTGTGCTTCCCTCTCAGCTGTGGTTCCTGTGCTGCTGCTGTTGCACCATGGAGCTGGGTAAACCTAGTTTTACTTTGAAAATTAAGTGTTTGGTGTATCTTCATCATTTCTGGATTTTTGGCTGGTAAAAGTGTGCCCCCTAGAGCCGCCCATGCTGAGCTGTGGGAGCAGCTGGACCGCGGATGAAAAGTGCCTCCATAAGACACCTCGTCCCGTGTCCTCAAAGTGGACGTGCTCTGCTTGTGCACCGACTTCGGGGTTGGTGACATTCCACATTCTTCGCTACTCTTAAAACATCCCTTGGGATAGTATGTGGACACAGGTGTACGTTTTGGGCAGGCCACCACCCGTCACGCCTCTGTGCCTTTAGCCACCCCCACCTCTCAGTGTGCTCCCCTCAGTCCATTCTGCACCATGCTTCCAGAATGATCTTTGTCCCTCAAGTCTGACCACAGCTCTTCCTAGCTGGAAACCCTGCTGTGGCTCCCCTCGCCCCATAGGACAGTACATAACGTGGCTCACAGCACCCTGCATGTCTGGCCTAGTTCCCTGGACCCAGGAGTCTTCTCATTGCACACTCCAGCCAGGAGAAACTTTCTCTTTTTAGTTGCTTACCACGTGCTCTGGGCTGAGGAATCGCAGTGCTCACGCTCATCCCACTCCCAGGCAGCCTCTGTGTCTGCCCTCAGCTCAGCCTCCAGCCTGCACTGTCCCACACCCTCCTTGCTCTGTTGGCATTGCCTCCTTCTTAACAGCCTCTCTCCTGCGTTGGATGGTACGTGTGCAGCTCTCCTCCCCTTCCCTGCCCTCGCTCCTCCCCAGCCCTGCCCCGACTTCTGGGGCTCCCCAGCCTCAGGGCTCACGACCCGAGGAGAAGATGAGCTGAGGATTGTGGAGACTGATAGGAACAGAGAACTGGGTGTCCCCGGGCCTTGCCAGGTCTGGGCGCAGCTGGGGCACCACTCACAGCTGTCCTGGCCGCCTTGGGTCACAGACGTGGCTTGCCAAAAGAACATGAGGGCTCCAGAGAAGCCACCCCTCCAAAGAAAGCGCAGTCATGGCCCTAGAGCATAAAAAATACAAGTGTAAAGAAGTAACACATCAAAGGAAACTTCAGCAGTGAAAACTCGAAGCATTAACCACAAAGCCTTTTCCCTCCCCACACACAAAAAGAAACGGTATTAGTTACTCACATAAAATATTCCTCTATGGACAGCACATGTTTAAAATCATTGGGTTTTGAGGATTTTTTTTTTTTTTTTTGCCTCTGCCCACTTTTTTTTAAAATGCAAGTATGTATTCGCTCAACAATGACAGATAAGGAGTGTTCAGTTGCTGAAATTATGCATCTTATCTTAGAAAATAACTTTTTCAGTGAAAGTGGTTTTTATTTTTTTTTCTTTCTGCTTCAGTGGTTTGATTAGTAAAATGTGAAGTTACAAATTTGAAGCAAATCACCACCCTTCACCACTATTGTCAGCAATTTTGAATAAAGAAACAACACATTAGGTTCCCACAACACACACTCTCCTCAAGGGAAACGGATGCGCGGCGGCCGGTGGACGGGCTCAGCACAGCTCGGCACAGGTGCGGGCTCCGACCTCGGCGCTGCTGACACTGGGCCGGGTCGCTTTCTATTGGGGAGTGGGGCGGGGTTGCTGTGCTGTGCTTTTTTTTCATGGAGGCTCAGCAGCATCTCTGAGGCCAGTAGCACCTCTACTCCAGATGAGGCAGTCAGACGTGTCTCCATGTCCGGACTCCAGATTTTACCCAGTGTCCTCTGGCAGGCAATGTTGTCCCCGGGTGGGATGCACTGGTCTATTTGATATTGAGGGCTAGAAATGTTAAATCAAGACATTCATTCAAAAATCATCAGGTAGCATTTGCTTTTTCTTTCTTTCTCTGTTGCTAAAAGTTCTGGTAAAACCTCTTTGCTCTTAGTTAGCAAGTGGTTTGCTTTAGCAGCTGTTGTCGCGTTACAGCAAGGGCTGTGAACAGCACTGTAGTTATGCAGGCCCTGCTCTCAGTCGTCTCCCGCCCAAGGCTGACCACAAATGGATCATAGATCCACTGTGACAGCCTTTCCCGTTGGATCACTGTGTTGACCCTCGAAAACCATGGCTGGTTGGTTTTATTACGGTTTAGTTTGATAATGTGACAGTAGTCCCTGTTTGCCTCTTTAAGTACTCCATTCTGCTCGGGGTCATTTGGGCACACAGATTGGCATGAAAAGCAACATGTAGTTTGAGATTCTTAAAGTTCCACATCAACATTATCACTCCCAGAGGGCTGGGTGGGAAAAATCATGAGAAGTCACAGTGTCTTACTTGCTCAGCTGATCTAGTTATAAACTACCCACACAGCCCATGGTAAAACCAGCTTGTGGGGAGTTTTCATTTAATGCATATTTGTTTTTTGGTTTCCTTTCTTCAATAAATAGTGTAGGATGCTCCCTCTTATTTTTGGCAAACCTGCCTGTTATCTTTTGGGGCCCCACGCTTCCTGGAAGCCAGTTATACAGAGGATGATTGTGTGTGTTAGACTGGGGTCATCCAAATGGCCAGCGTTCTCATTGGTTCAATTTAAAAACTACTTTAGACATGTTGGTGTAGAGTGTGCATGTGTGTGAGGGTTGGGATGGTTGTTTAGACTGGGGAGGGAAGCACAGCAGGTGTAACTTGCCATTGCAGAACACCGCCTGCATCTCTCTTGAAATCGCTGCTAAACCACCTGTCTGCTCTCAGGTGCTTTTGTGCACAAGACACTGCTGCGTTTTGTATCACGAGTACCTTAGGATTCATTCACCTCTCACACTCTGCTTCCTTAGTTCTCTGTTAATCATTCTTTGGGAAAACCAAATCTTCCATCGCAGGGTCACTACAGATGACTTTGATAGGTGTTTGCTAAGACCGCCTAGCAGTTAGTTTGGGAAAGCCCCAAGCACAGTCTCTGACATCTGCTTTCACAGTGGAAATGGCAGCTGCAGGACACGCCAGCATGTTGCACCACCGAGTTCCCGTCTGTGCCAACCCCAGATAGGACTCGGTTTGAACTTTGCTTTCTAATACAAATCAGTCTGCTTTTCAAGTCCATGTATATCAGTACAAGAGGATAACCGGAAATGGGGATCTTGTGTCTAATTTTTTATTCGATTTTGTATGTTAAAACAAAAATTTCTACAGAAAATGACAGCAGAGCATAGCATGTTACTATAAATGTGTAAATGTTCTTAAAAATAAATATCGGGCGATCGATACTTAGTTTATGACAGAATTCCTCAGTTGTAGAATTTCAAAGTCTTGGTCTTTATCTACATTATAGAGGTTTGTTAGGCTTTATATTTGATTTTGAAAGTGAATGCTTGCTGTATGGAGGTGAGATTTAAGAGAGTTTTCTACGCTGCTCATGAGACGAGGAACGCTGGCCTCTTCCTCTGTAGTGACAGGCCCCTCTGCGTTTCTGATCTCTGCTTCCCTCTGTCTCTGCTTGCTGTGTCGAGTGCCCACTGCAGCACAGGTGGTCTGGAGCCTACCAGCTCAGTCTCTTTGTTTCTGGAGTCTTGAGGCATCACAAGCTCTAATTAGTGGACGCGTGGGAATAAACACATCCTGTCACGTTCTTCTGAGGTCTTGCTCTTGGCTGCCCCGCCCCCACCAACCCTGGCTGAGCAAGGGTCTCGCTATATAATTAATACCTTTGTGTCCTGAGTGACAGAATTACTTTGGTGCTGACAGATTGGCCCCATTTGAGGAGTTTGTCTCTGGCAACGCATTGTCAATGTAGGCAGATAACATGGGCTGCGACTTTGAACAGGCCATGCCTGGGCTCTTGAGGAAGCTCTGTTGGCTTCTGATCTGGGGCCATGAAGTCTGATGCTGTGCTGGCATCACAACCTGGTGTTTCTCAGTTTATTTCTCTCGCTTTTTGCTTTGGTTTTGTTTGGGAGGCAGCTGCCAGCTTCATTAGAGCAGGACCAGTAGGCATTTGTGGTTCTGCCTTCACCTTCCTCACGTGCCTCCTGTCTCCTTGTTGCCCCACGTGGTGCCGCAGTTCCTGGGCCTGCTGCCACAGTGCGCTGTGATTGGGGTCTCTCCTGGCCCCTTCTCCAGGTGCTCTTCTGAGCCTGACTTCTTTGCAGTCACTCCCTAACCTAGGACATCCTAATTGCCTTCCAGACCTGCCTCTTCCATAGAGCTTTCTCTGATCTCTCTTTCCGGTAACCTGGGCGGCCTGAAGCATTTCCCTCTTCTGAGTTCCTGTGGCACATCCGTAGTGTTTCCCCCTCAGCCCTTCCCACAGTCCACCTTGTCACTACTGGCCACAGCAGTCTGTCTTGATGACAGAGGGCTGGCCCTGAAGTGGCTTCCTTCACCCACATCATCCTTGGCCCCAGAGGAGGTATGGACTGAGTGAGTGCATGTGAACTACAAGTGTCATTTGCCAAAGAGCTGTTTACACAGTGACACTTGGTTTGACAGAGTCATAAGGTCTTTGAGGTTTCCTCTTCTAGGCATATGGTCAGTCCTTCTGGCTCATAGACCCGGCAGCTTAGCCCCTGTCAACCTGCCATTTTTGGCCAGAACATTCATCCACAAGCCGAAAGGTTTGAATAACCTTTCGGTTATTCGGTGCAGAGACTTAGTTCAAGCAAAGTATGTCACTAAACTTGAGTCAAACTTTTTTTCTTAGACTCCAGATCTTTATGACTTTGCTTGTTTTAAAGAAAACTTTAATGAGCTACATTTAAATCAAGAACATCAAATAGTTTCTAAGATTATCAAAGTACAGCATCAAAAATATTTTTCTGAACTGAACCAAACCCGAATGAAAGGGTGATTCCAAACCCTGAGGCGCCCTCTGCACGTCTTCTCCGAAAGTTAGTTTGCGTTTGATTATAACCCTTCAGCCTTTCCAAAGGGCGTCCCTGCAGTCTCTTCCGGTCTTGTTTGCAATTGCCCCGTTTGCAGGGCAAGTCACCTGCACTCTGTGCCATCATCCCGCTCAGGTCCTTGGCAATGTCTGAAATGGCTACGTAAAGGAGTCTGTGAAAGGCGAAGCTGTTTGTGCAATCTGCTTCATAGGTTGTGACAAAGGGTCAGACCCCTGCAGCACTTCATTGCTTCGGATAACCAGGGCCTGCTGGATTTGAAAGTCTGATCCCTGTCTGCACACCCAGTCCTGGACAGGACCTTCACAACCCCTGCCCCCCCATCCCAAGAGGCCGGCAGCTGCACTAACCACGACTTCCATGTTCAGAAAACCCCAGGCCTTTGGGTTATCAAGAAGCTCATGGAATGTACTCCACGTTTCCGGCCATAGGAAAACAGTCAGTTGCTCACAATAATTCAATGTTATTTCCTCCCTTAGTTAAAATGTGCACAGTACTGGCCACAAAAAGAAGAAAGAGAAATGACCTTTGAAGATACGAATTTGAAATTAACATTGATCTCTGAAGACATCAAGTCGTATTATACAGTGCGGCAGTTAGAATTGGAAAACCTTACGGTAAGCGGGGCGTGCACTCAGGTGCTTCGGTGGTCACTGGTTGAGATGTCTCCTTCCTTGCATGATATTCCCTAACACCAATGTTCCCACATCTTGGGCGAGATGTGGTTTAGGCTCACTCCCCTGCCCTCCCCTAAAAAAAAGAGCGGAAAAAAAAAAAAAAGAAAGACGTGGTTTGGGCACTGTGGTGAGCAGGGCTTACATATGTACCCACCAAGTGACCAGGAGGGCAGAGGCCATAGGTGCCACCTTCTCCACAGAGCACTCGCTCTAAACTTTAATGCTGGTTAACACCAGTTCTTAGGGAAAAGGCAGTTTCTTACCTAACAATGATTGATTCCTGCCCGTACAACTGCAGAGGGACTGAGTGGCAACCTGCAAGTTCAGCACCAGCGGAGCATGCTGGTGCCTTGGCGCTGCTCAGTCCCCTCATCTGTAGCGAGGGGAGAGGAGCCCCCCAGGCTGATTCCAGTTTCCTAGCCAGTGGGAGCTTTCTAGGTGAGGTCTTGGGTTTATTTATTTTGGGAAGACTCTATAACATCAGCTGCTGGTGCTAAAAGATGGCCTTGGGACATGGTGAGGCACTGTGCAAAGCAGCACCGCCTGCCCCTGGAGGTTGGGAATAATTCCTGGAGCCACCACTCAGTGGGGTCCACGCTGGTGCTAAGAGCGGTGAAGGGAGCTCTGGGCAGTGCCTGGGGACGCCAGTAAACACAGTGGTCAGCCACTAGCCTCTGGAACCGAGCTGTTTGAGGTTGAATCCTGGCCCCAGCATGTCACACTGTTGGGCTTGAGCAAGGGACACTACCTCTCATGGTGTCTGTTTCCTCTTCTGTCAGACTTGGGTTTGTAAGGGTCCCGGGAGGTCCCATATGGGAAGGGTTGGACCAGCACCGGGCTCAGGGCACTTGCTCAGAAAGGGGCAGTTGGTACCGTGGGGGGCATCACATGGGCTTGTCTAGGGGAGGGCGGGGTGACGGAGACCACTTGGAGTGGGGCTCCTGGGCCGTGCGGAAGGGCAGGGCTCTGCTTCGGGTTGAGTCCACGGCTTCACTTTTCATGCACTGCTTTATAGTCATCGTGGCTCCTGTTACTCAGTCCAGAGTTAAAAGTAAGATCTAGAACTTAGCCATAGGTTACCGGGAAGTAGAGGAGGGGTTCAAGCAGCGTGGCTTCTGAGAAATGCAGTGGCACAGCTTCTGGGATTGCTCTCTGCCCGCTCTGGCGCTGGAGCCGCCAGCCCTGCTGCAGCCGTGTGGGGCTCTTCGAGCGTGGTGGGTGGAGGGTTCTCAGGACCAACGCTGGCTGCGTGTTGGAATGTGCCTGAAGGATTATGTGGTAGACTTTTTAAAAAATGCGTTTCAGCACTTGCAAGCCTGAGATTAAGAGTGACTTCTGGTAAACTCCTGCTTGTTGAGGGAGACTGAATTTAGACAGAGCACAAGAGCTTTGTGCTTTTTGCTTTTTGGTAGAGTGAATACAGCTCATAGGTTTTGATGTTAGGATCTGTTTGCTCCAACAGACTTTGTTTTTAAAAAGTCTTTTCTCAGCCATGGGTGTCTGTTCAAGCACAGGCCTAGAATGAATTCCTTGCAATAGGTGAGCAGGTATGAGGGAGGGTGTCTCCAGGAGGGAACCTACACCTTTTTAAAGATCGAAAGAAAAATTGCTTTTGGCATGTCTTTTTCTCGTTCAGTTTTAAAAATATTTTTTAAGTGCATGTCTTTCCCCCTGAAATAGAAGAGAAATTTCTTTCCCTTCAATGCCATTAAATGGAGATCACTTTCTAGGGAGGAAAGAGTGGAATTGCTTAGTGCGATTCTGTAAATCATCCTAAGGTACAGACGCTCCTGGCTCTGCAGAATATCAAGTGAAGTTGGTGGCCGAGGTTACGTTGTATTGTGTGTTATGTGTTTTCGTACAGTCGAGTGAGGGAGTCACAGTAACTAGGCTGTGAGGGCAAGGTGGTATCTTTGCCCTTACACGCCTGGCATGGTGCTGTCACCTGGTTGGCATGTTGTGCGCATTTGCCAAATGCTTACATTGTTCGTAAGCAGGTCTCTGGCCTGAAGCGTTTCATCATCAGCTGCTCTCCAGGTGGCCTGGGGACTATCCTGGGGCCATGGAGCAGGGAGACCCTCAAGGCTGGCATGGTTTTTGTCTGCAGCCTTCTTGCCACACCCACATCAGGAGACTGGCGATCCTGGGACTCTTTCCCTCTCAGGGCCTTGCTTAACCTGAGTCCGCATTTCCCACACGCTCTTAGGTAGTAGAGGTCTTGAGCACTCTCCCCCACTGAGAATCACCTTTGATCATGGCCACCGGAAGGTGTGGGGAAGGAGCAGAGCTGGAAACAGCACCCAGCTGCTCCTTGGGGGCAGACCAGTCCAGGGGAAGGTACATTTTGGGACAAGGGCTGAGGTCCTCCTTCAGAAGTATCTGCAGCAGGCCCTGAACATGGCTCTCCACCTGTGAGCCTCAGCCTGCCCATCAGGAAAGTGGGAAGAATGGGGGCGCCTGCCTGCAGGGCTGGTGGGAGAACCGGTGCCAGCTCACGTACGCGCTCAGCTCACAGGGCAGCTGCTGCTCTTCCTGTCACGGCCTCCTCACGACCGTCTCTTCAGCTGGGTGTTGAGCCACACGTTGTGGTCTTTGGAGACTGAGTTGGTTAGTTTTTCTCTAAAATGACAATCCTCTGAAACTTCCAAATAGTCTTGAAAAGCCCTGAGTTGCCCAGAGCTGGTGCCCCGCACATGCAGGGACTTTCACTCTCACGGGCAGCCTTGCAGGGATCCAGGACAGGATTCTCGTGGGTGGCAACGCAGTGTCGCTGTGACTCGTGAGGCAGAGAGGAGCCAGTTGTAACCATGTAGACTGTGGAAGTGACAGGGACATTGGAGAAAAGAGGTGAGGGGACGGTTCCATCCTGAGGGACAGTGAAATCTGAGCAGGAGCACCCTGCAGGTTCCATGCTGAGTACAGGCCTGGACCCAGTGCCTGGTGTTTGTTGACGGGGTGCAGGGACCCTGGGAGAAAGTCTGAGAATGAACATTCCTCTTCGAGTTAGGTGAGTGGAAAGTCACCATGTGTGTGCTTGGAATTAGCGACTTACGTACAGATGATTCTCTTAGAATCGTCATGAGTATTTTTCTCTTTCAGACTCAAGAAACTCGAGAGATCTTACATTTCCACTATACCACATGGCCCGACTTTGGAGTCCCTGAGTCACCAGCCTCGTTCCTGAACTTTCTGTTCAAAGTCCGAGAGTCAGGCTCGCTCGGCCCGGAGCACGGCCCCATCGTGGTGCACTGCAGCGCCGGCATCGGCAGGTCAGGGACCTTCTGTCTGGCCGACACCTGCCTCTTGCTGGTAAGGAGGCCCTTGCGGGTGCCAGGGAAGAGCAGGGAATGCTTTCGAACTCCTGCCTTGGCCTGGCCGCGGCTCCTTTGGCAAGTGCATTTCCTCCGCTTTGACCTTCACTTTGTAACAGCTTCTCCCCTGTGAAAGCAGCTTTGTCCTGAATAGCTTTGTTTGCAGGGATGCTCCCAGTTTTAACGTGGAATCCAGACAGAGCCAAAGAATCCTCTTCTAATTCTTAACTCTTTTAGCCCTGTGTTCAAATGGTCCCCATTTCATGCAGTTCCTCACATTTTCTAGAATTCCTCTGCCTCCCTGCTGTGGTTTTTCCTAAGTAGAAACTGGAACACTCTTCTTCAGAAACATGGAAAGTCACGTTGCACTTGAAAGTCAGACCTGGGTGAATTGTGTCTTTCAGATGGACAAAAGGAAAGACCCTTCTTCCGTTGATATCAAGAAAGTACTGCTGGAAATGAGGAAGTTCCGGATGGGGCTGATCCAGACAGCGGACCAGCTGCGCTTCTCCTACCTAGCTGTGATCGAGGGTGCCAAGTTCATCATGGGAGACTCCTCAGTGCAGGTCAGCATCGCTTTTCCTTTAATCCAAGGGTGATGGTTTTAAGTTTTTGTCTTTGAAGGTGGCTGTCAGTTGTAAGAGTTCAAACACTGTCAGATGTCAGGAGATAGGTACCCTTCATGTTTAAAATAGCTAGAAAGTTGTCGAAGTGCTCCCCATGTTCCCATTTCTGCCTTTGAAGTGCTCACATAGAGAATGTTGATAGGAAGAATAGAATATTTTCAAACAATTTCATCTTCCAAGGCTGTGGCGGGAACCCCAGGCAGCCGGGAGCCCCTTGCCAAGCCTTCCCCTCTGCTCACTAAAAGGAGAGTGGATTTCCTGACAAATCAGCCAAGAGTGAACGCCAATGGGACTTCCTCTTGCTGCTCTTTCCAGGATCAGTGGAAGGAGCTCTCCCACGAGGACCTGGAGCCCCCACCCGAGCACATCCCCCCACCTCCACGGCCACCCAAACGCGTCCTGGAGCCACACAATGGGAAATGCAAGGAATTCTTCCCAAACCACCAGTGGGTAAAGGATGAGACTGAGGAGGATAAAGACTGCCTCATCAAGGAAGAAAAAACCAGAAGCTCCTTCAGTGTCCCCTGCAGCACGGAGAGGTAATGTGAGAGGGTCCCGTCTTGTGGGGGCGAGAGGAAATGACCTTCTGTTCCAGAAACACGTGCTGGTACTGAAATGCTCGGAAAGTGGGGCTCCTGCACCGCACCTGCTCCTGTCTGGGTTTGGGGCACAGTGCAGCCCTGGGAAGTGAATGGCTTTCGTAGGGTTCTAGCTCCACCTTGTGGTGCTTGTTGGAATGGGGGGCTTGGTGCAGCTGAGCCGGGTGTTTCTGCCCATGGCAGTGCCTCCGTCAGGCCTCTGCTGGTCCTGAAATTTGATGTCCAGGTTTACCATGTACCTTCAGTCCCTACTGTGGTCCTTTGGGGAACTTAAGCTTTTTATGTAGTCTTGACTAAAGTAATTTCCATCTTACTTCCTTGCAATTTAATGAACATTGAGCACCTATTGATGGATGTGGAATACTGTGATAACTAGAACGTATCCCTGGGCTGTTCTATCCCATGTTGTTGGGAAAGAGGCAGACCCCCAGTATATGGTGCTGGGAGCCCGTGGACAATGACACGGTAGAGGTACATGCTGAGGTAGTCAAGGAAGGCTGCCTGTGGGAGGTGGCACTGCATGGAAGCTTACAGACTGAGTAGGAGTTAGCCCAAGCCTGAGACTGCTGGCAGCAGTGTCCTTGGTACCTCCTTTTTGGAGGGAAGTTTTACGATGTGGGCACACTTTGACCCAGCAGTGCACATCCAGAAATTTAACCTGCGGCGGTTTCCGAATAAGTATGTAAAGATATGTACATGTAGTTGTATTTATTGTAGCATTGTTTATAATAGTGAAAAATTAGAGATGAGCCAGTGATATATCCAGGGATTAGATAAATTACACTTCTTCCCTGTGTTGGGATATCCTGTAGCTCTTAAAGAATAAGATCTGGGTGTACCGATGCGGCCAGACATTGGAGCTGCAGTACGTGAGGAGGCAAGTCACACAACAGTGTATACACCATGGTCCTCCAGCTGAATTGACCCTCACAGCGATCAGTTACCCAGGCACCTGTGGACCCTACCCTGGGTGTGGTGTGGGGGTGGGTGGGTGACAAATGGACTTCAGGCTGATTTGGCTGTGGCCTGGTCATCCTTCCAGGCAGAGGGGGCTGGCTGGCTGGCATGGGTTAACATCACCCTGCTCTGTCTACATGTGGCTCGTTTTATCATAGATTTTGTCCCATAATAATAGTGTCCTTGCCATCCATCTTCCCCGAAGTAAGTAACCCATCTCTGCCCCTCTGATTCCTCAGCACGAGTCAAGACACTGAAGTTAGAAGTCGGGTCATGGGGGGGAGTCTGCGAGGTGTCCAGGCCGCCTTCCCCGCCAAGGGGGAGCCATCGCCACCCAAGGAGGAGGAGAACCACACTCTGACTCACTGGAAGCCCTTCCTGGTCAACATGTGCATGGCCACAGTGCTCACGGCCGGCGCATACCTCTGCTACAGGGTATGTTTTCACTGACAGCGTGCTGGCAAGACGCGCGTGTGCAGAAAGCACTGGCTGCTAGCCCGGTGTTAGCATTCGTTCTGTGGAACATCTGAGCCAGTCTCAGAAGAAACAGATCAGAGGTTTTTAAAGTCTGCAACTGTGGAAGGGCTAACAAGAGAATTAAGGATTGATGCACTGGGGTCTTAAGGAGCCCTGTGGTCCCAAGAATATAATAAGAGTCTATTCTCAGGGCCTTAACCTATTCAGGAGTAAGTAGAGAAAATGCCAAATATGTCTCTCTTTCTTTCTTTTTGTTCATTTGTTTTTGGAAAAAAAAATAGAATTACAACACATTGTTGTTTTTAACCTTTATAAAAAGCAGCTTTTTGTTATTTCTGGAACAAAACAAAGTAGGTACTTATGAAACTCTCTTGTACCCTTAGGTGATATAATCAGATATACAATTTATATTTGATTTCCCAGGGAAAGAATTCCAAACTCTTACGAATGTAAACTCCCTTGGAGAAGAGGGTTAGGACACTGCCGCGCCCAGTGTGCACACTGAGCCCGGACAGTGTCTTCGAGCTTTCCCGCTTTGAGAAGAAAACCAACACAAGGCCATCTCTAGAAAACAAAACCCGGCTTCTGCTTTTGCTCAGGGTGTCCCCGCTGGTCTTTCATTGTTCATATCTCCATCAGTCCTCCTCGTGACAGCCATCTCGCTCACATACCGGCCCTCGTCACCCCATCCCCACAAGCGGGTTTCCTCGAGGCCCCTGCCTCAGGGTCGGAGTTCACCACAGGGTGGCCGCCGGCACTTCACCCCGCCGCCGGTCCAGAGGAGCGGGTTCCACTTCATCTGGAGAATGAGTGCCATTTCAGTAGAAATCCACGCGTTAGACGTGTGTTGCTGTTAAAGTAGGGGGAAGGGAGAGGATTAGCCTCAGAACTCTGGTCGTGGAAATCACCTTATAAGGGTTTTTTCATCTTTTTAAATATTTTACCTTTTTCCAGGTGACCATCTTTGAGTACACGAGATGGTTTTGCAAAATGCAAACAAGTTTTTCCGTAGTGATTTGGGGGGGCTGTCAAAAAAAACAAACCAGACCCCTTTGGCTGCTTCACTGGTGGCTCCCTCAGAGGTTGAAGTCGCCGGGGGGTGTGGCCCGGGTCGTGCAGAGTCGGCAGCTCTGTGGGTGCAGCTCTGGGCTCATCTGAAATGTTTGGTTTCATTCCAGTTCCTGTTCAACAGCAACACATAGCCTGACCCTCCTCACTCCACCTCCACCCACTGTCCGCCTCCGCCCGCAGAGCCCGCGCCCGACTAGCAGGCAGGCTGCGGCAGGTAAGGGCCGCCGGACAGCGCGGAGCCGGGCCCTGGACAGATGTTGGTTCTGCACTAAGACCCCCCTCCCCGGCTGTGTGTCTCCCCCTCATCCTTTTACTTCCCCCCCCTTCCCCTTCCTTCCTTCCTTTGAGTTCCAAATCCACAAGCCATTTTTGGAGGAGAGCAAAGGAGAGTACCGTGCTGGTGGCACAGAGGAGAGGTGGCCCACACCAGTCTCGGGGCTCACCCCATCCAAGTGCTCCCTCTTGGTGCATCCCAGCACATCCTGGGGGGTGGCGCACCGACACCCCCCCATGGGCCTCCGTGGAGTCTGCGTGTAGTAAGCCTCTCCACTCCATATTTATTTTTAAGTTTTTTTCCCCAAAAGTGTCCGTAGTGCACTAGCATTTTCTTAAACCAATAATGTATTAAAATTTTTTGATGTCAGCCTTGCATCAAGGGCTTTATCAAAAAGTACAATAATAAATCCTCAGGTAGTACTGGGAACGTAAGACTTTGCCACGAGCCTGCTGCGTCAGACCAGTACTGGGAAAGAGGACGGTTGTAAGCAGTCGTTATTTAGGGGTATTGTGGGTAACGTGAGAAGATAGACAATGGTGTAATATATAATGAACACTTGGCTATTTAATAAGATCCATGATGTGAGATTCCTTTGTCCCCATTATCCTCCCCCTAGAACCTTGTTCTCAATCACCGCTTTCCCCGTGTGTATTAGAATGCATGTAAGGTCCTCCCGTGTCCTGATGAAATACCATGTGCTTGAAACGAGGAACTTCGGTTTCTGCTTACTAATGTGCCCGTGTCCAAGTCCAGCCTGCCTTTGCATGATCTGATCATTACACGGCTGTGGTTCCTAAGCTGTTGCTGAAGTAATTGCCATTCAGCAATAGATGATGTTTTCCAGTAACAGGTATTTGCCTAATTCCTGGCATGACACTCTGGTGACTTCCTGGTGAGACCTGGCCTGTCCTGGTGCAGCCGGCTCTCACCGCAACTCAGACATTCCAAGGGTTTCGGAAGCCATATTCACACCTCACGCTCTGGACGTTTAGACGGGCAGGGACCCCCACTCCTTTGGGATCAGCCTCCACTGTTCCAAGTTCACGCTCTCCTTGAGCAGACCGTGATTTGGAAGCAAGGCAGCTGTTGGAAGCCACACTTCTTGAAACAGCCGGGCGACGGTCCCTTAGAGTCAGCCTGCTGCCGTCTCCGTCCAGGTTCGCCTTGCTGAGAGAGGTGCGTCTGCCCCTACCTTGAACCCTGTGGGGACTGATGGTGCTCACGACTCTTCCTTCGAGGGGGACTTAAGCCCTCTACGTTAAGTGGCTTTTTTTACAAGAACAAAAAGGCAGCTGTAGCTCCCAAGCTACTCTCTTGCCAGCATTTTCACATTTTGCCTTTCACGTGGGAGAAGCCAGTACAGAGAAATTCTGTGGTGGGAACATTTGCAGCATCGCCCCACGGAGCCTTGGTGAGGTGTGGATAAGGCTTAGGTGCCAGGCTGTAGCATTTTTGAGTTGGGCTTGTTTTTCTTTAAGTCCTGTATATGTACGTAGTAGTTTGGGTGTGTATATATAGTAGCATTTCAAAATGGATGCGCTGGTCTAGCCGCCTACTTGGAGAACGGATGGCTCTCCACCTTGTCACACGTATGTTAGAGGTAGCGAGCTGCTCTGCTATATGCCTTAAGCCAATATTTACTCATTGGGTCATTATTTTTTACAATGGCCACGGAATAAACCATTTTTACAAAAATAAAAACAAAAAAAGTGAGGTGTTTTGGTATAATACCTTTTCAGGTGTGTGTATACATGGATGCATGACTGGGTGGGGGGGCGTGTCTCAGGGTCTTCTGTGACCTCACAGAGCTGTCAAACTGTACAGTTTTCCAACTTGCCATATAAGTGATGGGTTTGCAGTTTAGTTGCAAAATAAAATTTTTTTCTAAAGAACATGGATTTGGGGTGCCTCCCATTTGTTTAATGACCCTGAGCCAGGATGGGCGTCCCTGCTGTTGGTTTCCATCCCCGCTGATGGGAAGCAGATGGTGTCGATCCAGCGGGGTCAGAGTTTTCCACATTCACGGATTACGAGGCTTCCTGGAGTCGTGAGCGCGCTGAGCTGGGAGAGCTCTCCCTTGCTAGGGAGCTTGCTTAACACTCAGGCCTCAGCTTCCCAAAACCCGCCCTTCGCATGCATAGTGTCCGCGGATTAACAAACTTGAAGTTGTTTGGAGAACTGTTCTAACCTCAAAACCGTGTCCCTCAGCCAATTGCCTGTAAGAGACACAATGGTTGCCACATCTCAATATGTCTATAAAGTCGTATTTGATGTAGAATTGACTTAGAAATGACACAAAAATTATAGTCTCTTGTGTACAAAATTAAACAGTGTAAATTGCCCCAAAGTGATTTTTTGACTTTTTGTTTTAAAGTAATTTCACACTTGGAAAATGTTGCAAAAATAGTACAAAGAATTCGTATATACCCTTCAGGGTTTCATAACCATTTCAAAGCCAGCCTCCCAGCTGGGCCCAGGGGACTGGGAGACAAGTGACAAGTACAGGTTTTAGTCATGTGGCTGCAGAGTACCCCAGGGGCCTGGGGACTCGGAGGGCAGTGCTGCTTCCACTGTCCCACTTCAGTGCTTCACATATAAAAAGATGGCATCTAAGCTTTCAAGAAGAGGGAGAGTGCCCGCGTAAAACAATTAACTAAACTTATGACTCGGCCTTCTGCCCATCTGATTCCTCTCCCAAAGGCCATGCTGCAAGGCGCCCGTACGGGAACGGGTGTGCTGGGAGCCTTCGAGAGCATGTGGCAAATCCCAGGGCAGCGTCCAGGGAGCACACCGCCCAAGGCCACCCTCCTTGAGCATCCTCACACAGCTCCAGTGGAGAGAGCACCACAGGACGGCAGCAGTGACTGTCCCCAGCAGGTTGTTTGGGGAAACAACCACTATCTACGGTTTTTGGGTAAAGTGAAATGCCAATTAAAACAGTTTAATTGAAATTTCAGAAAATTGAACATATGAACAAGGCAAATAAATACTAAGTTAAACCGGTATAGTAGGTTTATACAGGATGTTTGAGAATGTTTAAGTTACAAAGTTCTCCAATCCCACTTTTGATGGCAACATTCAAACTCCAGGTTATCTCTACATTATTAACACAGACAGCTCAGGCCTATGGTTTGTTTTAATAGACTTAAATAGGGAAATAATTTTCTGTCTCTAAAGCAACATGTTCTTCAGTGAAATCTTCCTTCAAACCAGCTTATGACTTCTGGAGCAATTTATTTAATAGGCCCTAAGGCGACTTGTTTCACAATTTTGACGTGTATGGCCAAAGAATGGTTTTACTGCCGTGATGCTCAGGGCTCTGGGGCTGGTGTACACGGTGTGAGTAAGGCCCACGCTCGGCCAGCTGCTGTCCCTGGGCTCCAGTGGCATTCAGGCTGCAGCTCAGGTTAAGAGTGTGGGTTGTGGAAACCCTGGCTTTGAGCCTTCCCACCTTCCCCGGCTCGCCAAGGTGACAGCTGGCTGCTGCTGAGATGACTGGAGCCACCAGTCTTTCATTAGCAGGCCCGGCCTGTTGGCCTCCTCAGTCCCAGTACTTATTGAACCAGAAGTGCTGAGCCAGCTGACATGCAGGGAGGCCTCCAGTGTCACATATTCATCTTGGAGCCTTTTATTCAGGGCCTCAACTTGCCTGGCTTTGGCTCCTTTGTAGCGTGGCAGGCTGGTGCTGGGCTCGGCGCTGCATCCTGGGGAAGGTCAGGTGCATGCTCAAAGCCCCAAGTCCAGCGCTCATTTGAGGCTGTACAGCTTCGGAAGTGCTGTGCGTGGCCTTTTTCCCTCTTCTGCTTCCGTACAGAAGCCCTGCTCGTGCCCTGGGGCTGTGTCAGCGGCGGGAGCCCCAGGCCAGCCCTTCCGCAGGAGCGCACAGCACCCCGCCCGCAGCTGGGGCACCACGTCCAGGCCAAGCAGCAGCAAAAACCAGATGCCAGGTTGGAGCTCATCAGCTGAGGCTTTTTAAAATATTGTGATTTCAACGTCTGCCTCCTGGCAAAAGACATCTCTTTGTTCTGAGCAAAGTTTGTCCATCCTCTCGAAAGCTAGGTGTCCTTTTTCACCTGAAACAGTAAGGTGATCTGTCACTTGCGTGTCTCCGACCTCGGTGTTTCCTACTCTGGCAGGCCAAGGTGGCCTCCGTGCTCACTGACGCCTGGGTCTTGGGGGTTTCTAAAGGGGCACACCAGAAACGTCTGGGGAGCTGCCACCCAGCTACTTGTTTGGCCTGAGGGCCTCGCCTCTACCTCTGCAACAGAGGCTGCTGAGTTGGAACAATGCCTCTGACTTCCAGTGAAGTGTAAGACAATAGAACACTTCCTGCCCCCTCACTGTGAGGGCAGCCTGCCTTGGCCAGAGTGCAGTTACACGTGGAGGTCGATTCTGCACTGGGGTTGCTGACGGTGCCAGTCCCAGGCACTGTTCTGTCTGTCGTGAGAGTCGGGAGCGACCTCCCTGGCACACCTGTTTTAAGGGCCCTGGGAACCCCACTACACACGACGTCTGATGCTCTAACTTTACCGAACGACAGTGTGGTTTCCCGAGCTGCTGCTCGCACGTCCTCCCGGTCAGACTGGCACAGGCTGGCGATCTGATCGATGCTTTCAACGCCCTGTGAGGTTAGGAGCAAAAGGGTCCATTAGGCCCATGGACGTTTTCAATAGCAGGTAGAATCTACCTTTCTCAGCCCACAGGACCCCTAGGATGGTCTCTGGGCCACGTCAGCCCCTTTTCTTGCAGCTTCCAGGTTTCTTATGTAGCCTCAGGTTCAGGTTCATCAGAGGTGCCTTTGGACTTGGGAAGCATCTCACCTCTGCAGTGCTGACATCTGCTATCGAGCCAGGCCATAGGCAGAGCCTGGCTTTATGGTGGCCTTCTGAAAGGAGACCTCTTTCCTTCTGGACCTTCCTGCCTCCCCCATGCTCTCCTAACCCCACCCTCCAGGGCAGACTGTGCCAGGAGGCTCCCATTCAGGCGGGCATCCAGCGGCTGCTCTCCTAGAGGCCAAGGACCACTGTGCACTGCAGCGCCCTCTGCTGGCTCCCCGCCCTCTTGCTGGGTTCCTGATTGTATCCAGGTGCGTCTCCCAGAGTGAAGGGGGCGAGTTCAATCTGAACTGCACTATCTTTTATCTAGCAAATGGGCAATGATGTTTTAAAACAAGAATCCCAAATGCAGATGAGGTTGGATCAGGAGTCTCAAAAAGTTCATATTCTCAGGCCCTGGGTAACAGCTGGGGAGGTTCTATTCTAGCCCAAGGAACTATCCAGAACAGCATGTGTTCTTTAAAAAGCTTTATGCACAAAGATGCTTATAATGACATTTATGACCAAAAAAGTAGACTTAAAAAACCTATATTTTCTACAATGTGAGAGTGGGTTAGCAGGCCAAATTATACACTGGATAGACCCTTCATGAGGAATTCTAAAGCGCCAGCAGTCTAACACAGTCCTCATTTTGTTCGCTGTTTTTAAGCCATATTTAAGATGACCAACAATCTTAAATGTGCACACACCCACAAACAAAAAAATACACCAAAATGTCAACAGTGGTTTCTGCTACGTATCTGGGTGATGAATAACTTTCTTTTACATCTCTGTATTTCACACTTTTTCTTTTTTACAGTGAGCTTATTGTAGTTTGAAATTTTTTAGTTGTGAATTTTAAAGCATGTCATTCAAGAGCTCAGAAGTAAATCCCTGGGGCCGCCGAGAGCCAGAGCGGATGCTCGCTGAGTACGGTCAGGGTCCCCGGTGCCGGAGCCGAGGGCTGCTCCTCGGAAACCACTTGTTGGGGTGTTTTGCTGGCAGTGATTTCTTTTTCTCTTTTTTTTTGGTGCCAGTAGAATCATGTTGAAGTTAACTAACGTTAACATTAACCACAAGCAGGTCCTCTGCCCGTCACTGGTGGGGAGACAGGACACTCACCTTTAGCTGCTTGAGCGCCAGGCACGCGGCCTGCTGGAGTTTGGGGTCGTTCTCGGTCAGGGCGTCCGTGTAGAAGAGCAGCGCCTAGGAAGTGAGGGGGCTGTGAAGGGAGGGGTGGGGGCGCGAGTGGCTCTAGGCTACCTTTTTCTAGACAAGTTCGGGACATGGGCTGTTAACCTTGGCACCAGCTGTACACAGTCACGAGATCTATACTCTGGTGTTTATCCCTAAAAACTGATCCCTGAGCTGATAAAAGGAAGAAAGCTCTTTTTGTCTAATAATGTTTCAGAAATACATTCTGAAACCGCTGTCTGTGAAAGGCTAAATCAGGGAAATCACATGTCCCTCTGGGAACAACAGTTGAATATACAGGGGTTGTCCTCATAGGCCCAAAACAGGCAGGGCTTCTGCCTCCTCCCTTCCGGTCACAGCTCTGACCCTGCCCTCTGAAGTCACACGGCCACGGCCAAGTCACTTCACCTCTCGGCCCGACTTGACTCAGCTGAAAATAAAGCAGCCACTTGCTTCACAGCTTGTCATGAGGATTAGTTAGAAAGCGCATGGGGTGCGCCGGCCCACAGGGGAGGCTGCTGTTCGGCTGTGAAGGGAGACCCAGGAGCGGGCCGCCCTCGGCTACAAGGGTGACAGGTGGAAGGGCCCAGGCACAGAGCCGAACAAGCCCCGAACAAGAGAACGGCCGCCCCTCCACCCGCAGGTGGCTCTCTGAAGAGAACTGTCTGCTTTGGGAAGACAGAGACAGACCCGACGCTGCTGCTCCTCCCCACACGGGGCGCTGGGGAGACGTGGCGGACACGTGAGCGCGGCAGCATCACTGCCCGCTGCCTCTAACCAAGGTACCAGGTCGCCACAGCTCTGCTCCCTCCGCTCCACCCCACGTCTGCCATCTTTTTTACGGTATTAAAAGGTACACACAATGTATCCCCTGCCCGCACCCCCAAAAAACCAAAATAAACCTGAATCCAGGGAAGCCTTTAAATCCAACTACTAATTTTCAGGAACTATAGAAGACAGAGAAACGTGTTAAACTACATCATACTATCAGCAAAGTCTAGATATTACAGGACAACCTGATGCCTTCAAGAAATGAATTGCAAGGGAAGAAAGAGATAGTAAACTTCAGATTAAATGAAAACTAAAGACGTCAGCCAGTCACAGTGCGTGCACCTTATATAGATCCCAGTTTAACAAAAAACCCAAATAAAACACTCAGGGTACTGGAGACTTGGAAATTTGAATATTAGATATATCGAGGAATTAATGATTTTTTAGATGTAATGGGATTATAGTTACAATTTTTGAGAGAATTCTTATCTTTTGACACATAAGTCAGATGCGTGGGACTGCGTCAAAGTACTGTGGGGGAATGGCGTGGGGAGGGGCAGGACAGGCCCTGGGTTGACAATGGTTGGGCTTGGGTGACAGGTGCATGTGGATTCGTTGTGTTCTGTCTACTTTTATGTGTGTCCGAAAGTCCAAGTAGAGTTAAAAACAACCACAAAGTAAACACACACGATCCAAGAAGCACTGCTAGCAGTGTAAGCGGAGAGTTCCTCTCCAGTTTGGAGCCGAGACGAAGGGTGCAGCCTCAATGTCACCTTCCTGCCTCAGAGTCAGGTGCCTTAAACATGCAGTAGTCACAGGCCAAGAACCAAAAAAGCAAAGGAGTCTAGTCTGTTGGTTTGCCAATAAACCGAACACAATGAACAGTTGCCAGCTAGCCACAGACATTGATCGAAACTAAATGAAGGTGAGCATCAAAACTAAGAAAAACATTTAACATGCAAGTGACATCTCACAGACCAAACATACGTCACTTTAGAAACACTGAGACAGAGGTGGTAGGCTTGCAGTGTGCACGTGTGTGAGCCTCAGGTGGCCTGGCAGCCCAGCCCAGGCCCCTCCGCCAGAGTATCTCCCAGCCACTGCAGCCCTGTCGCTCACTCCTTTGTGCCTCCCTGCCACAGAGAGAACGCCTGCCTCCCCGCCCCCAACTCACACCCCTGCAGCCAGGGGGCTGCCACCTGCCCCCAGCACTGTACCTTTTCCCGGAAGCTTCTGTTCCTGGCCGCGCTGGCCAGGCGAGCGCTGGCTGCCCTGCACACCCGCGGGGGCCCGTCCAGCTGGAGCAGCGCCCAGGCTCTCAAGGTCTGGGGCAGGGGCTGGAGCTGGCCCAGCCGCTTTCCCTGCAGCTTCCGGACTGCCTTGGCCTGCCCGGCACAGCGCAGCTCCTCAATGAGCGTCACTGGAAGACAGGGGAGGGATGGGCCCAGGTCCCCAAGGCTGGAGCTGGGCAGTACAGTTGCAGGTTTGCGTGGTGCTGCCGTTAGCCCAGAGAAGCAAATCCCAGAGCAAGCAGAGTCATCACCGAGGCCCAGTCTGGACTGGTTTTTTGACCTGGAATCTCTAGGAAAGCTTTCTAGCAAGGGATCAAATACACGCTGAAAATTAAAACCACAACCCATACTTGAGGGACTCCGGCCAGCCGAGATCACTCTCCCACCCAGCTCTGACCTCTGGTCTGTGCTTTTTAAAGCTGCTTTCCCTTGGAGCTGACTTCACCCCATAGGCTCAATGCGGAATCGCATTAAATCAAGGTTCTCAAAAGAACAGCTGGAGGGGAAGATGCAGGGTTCTGAGAAACTGGGACCAAGAGGGCTCCACGGATACTCCTCTGCTACAACTGTGTCACTGTGAGGGCACCTGCCGCCACCCCAGCCCTACCTTCCTTGGTGAGCTGGGCGAAGTGCTTCTCCAAGTCGGAGACGTCGTGCCTCTGCAGGTAGCTGTGAAACTGGAACCAGGTGACGGTATGTTCTTCTGGAAGCCCGGCCCCGCGGAGCAGCCCACCGCAGCTGACCACCTGCTCCAGGAGCCTGCGGCACACTGGCCAGAGCGGGAGAGCATGAGGAGAGACCACGCTTGGTTTCTGCCTTGCAGCTTTATGGACGAGCGTGGCTCCCCAATGGCACGTGGGTGGGGGTCCCCCACTGCGCCTCCTGTGTCCTTGGGGGAGGAGTGTGCTCCAGCTGGAGTCCACGGGCCCCAAGTCAGCTGGTCTTGGGTGTGTCTCAGTGCCCTGGGCCCCGCGCCACACCTGAATCCCAGAGACAGGGCCTGGGGGTACGCATGTCACCTGTCTGTCACCGTTCACTTAACAGAGAAAAATGCTACCGCTCTGTGTTCTGGGGCAGGGTCCAGCCGACATTTCAGGAAGTCCTTGTCAGGCCTTGCTGCCACCTTCCCATGTTTCTCTCATCACCCCTTAAAGGCCCTGGTGGGAGGCATGGAGTCTGCTCCCAGAAAGATGCCCCAACGCACTGACGTGTGCCTGCAGCTTCGGGGTCTCGCGGGCTGTTGTTAGTCCGTCTGGGGGGCCCTTTCTCTCCCCAGTGAAAGGAGGATGACTAATCCAGCCGAGAACATCCCCGCTTCGCTGCCACGAAGGCAGGGCCGGAGTGAGGCCTGCTGTGACAATCCCACAGGCCCGGGGGGTCGGCACAGCCTTTCGCGGGCCGGGCTGGGGAGGAAGCTACCTGTTTCCAGTTGTCCCGGGTATTTCCCTCTGACTCGGTGCAGGAACGTTTTCTTGAGCTGGTTCCGTAGCGTCGTCGCGGGGCAGGACAGGACCCCGCTGGGCCCCGCGCACGCCCTCCACAGCCGCAGGCACCCCTTGCTCCGCGAGGCCTGTGGAATGACTGAGCGCCCAGCTTCAGGGCCTCGACGGAACACGGCGAGAGGAGGGCCACGCGGAGCCCGAGGGTTTCCCTCCACTAGGGCCGAGAGGCCGGAGGCGATGCAGGGTCCCACCCCTGCATTCCCACGTGATGTGGGTCCCTGCTACCCGCCATCCTCACAACAGCCCTGGGAGGGGCAGTTGTCACCAGCCTCCTTTTGACAAGGAACCTAGGCTTTTGAGAGGGGAGGTCCCGGGGGCAGAGGCAGGACTGGGTTCACGGCTACTGCCTGCTGGGGTGCATGCGCTATACCTTGAACTGGCCTGGGATTACCTTTCTCGGCCCCGTGCAGTGCCCTCCCCACCATACGGATGGGGAAGCTGAGGCTCAGAGAGGGGAGTCATTTGCCCAGAGTCACACAGCCAACTGAAGAGCAGGTGCTGGTGCCTCCAAGGCTGTCCCCCTCCCTCTCCCCCACGTAGCATGTACTCCCGCCTCAGCTCCGGCTAACTGCTTATCGGGAAGGAGGTGAGGTCCCCTGGGTTTTGTTCCCCGTTACTTCCTGCCACGCGCACGAGCAGCCCGCGGGTGGTGGGCGGTTACTCACTCTCTTCAATGGATGCTGCCTTGCTGACTTTCTCAAAGTCCAGGACAGAAAGCGTCTCCAGAACCTGCTTTTGCTGCGCCACCTCCTCCAGGAGGCGTTCCTGCACCATCCTCGACAAATTGGGGGAGGCCAGTTTCTGGAAAGCAGCCCACAGTGCTCCAGGTTAGCAGGGAACCACACCCTCCGAGGTCATTCGTCATGACTGTGGCTCTCTGCCCCATGCCCGTCCCTTCCGTCCCTGTGGTGGCTATCATCTGGGGATTGTCCCTTTGCCAAGGTGGCTGACCTGCCAGGGCCCACCTTTGCCACTGGAGGTGGTCGGCCTGCCTGAAAGTGGAGCCACCCCACATTGCAAAGCAGAACTGAGAGGGAGAGAGACCCAGTCCTGATGGCATTTGAACCCCTGGATCCAGCTGGGCCTGAAGCCCACCTCTGAGCCTTTCAATATCATGGGCCAATACATTTTCCTTCTGGTTGAGCCAGTTTGCATTAGGGTTCTGGCTTCTACAGATGAGCATTGCAGCCATAGCCTTTGGCTCTGGGCTTGGGGTGCACAAGAGCCACGTGACTATTCACCCAGACCCTGGCCTGCACCTTCCACAGGGGAACAGGCTTGGTCTCACTCCCTCTGAGGGTGTGGGCCTCTCACCCTCACACTGTGCCTCCCGCCACCTTCGACATGAGACTTTACAAAGAGGACTCCCAGCCCCCAGCCCAGCCCCTCAGCCACCTGCAGCAGAGCTTTGCAGATGTGGAGGTGGGCTGTGAGCAGCACGTCCAGCTCGGGGGCGCCGGCCGTGAGATCCCCGGATGACGCTTTCAGTGATGGCGGTGGGGGTGGGGTCCCGTCCTTTCTGAGGTGGATTAAGAACGGAGTGAGGGTTCGGTTAGCAGTTCGGCTCCCTCTGAGAGTGGAGGAAACCCTCCTCCCAGAGAGCTCTGGGCCAGGGAGGCCAACTCCAGGTCCCAGGTAGTTAAACTGAGGAGAAAACTAAGAGAAAAGGAAAAGGGGCAAAAGTCGGCAACACTGAGAACAGGTGCTGGGGTGGCGTGGGCCTGGGGCAGGGGGTGGGGACACAGCTTTCCGGGGTAGCTGGTTGGAGTCAGAAGACTGGGGTTCAAACTAATCCTAGCTCTGTGGCTCTGGACAAGTCTGCCTCCCCAAGCAACAGTTTACTCATCTGCAAAGTGGGGACAGGAAGCCCAGCCTCGGCCAAGGAGGGCCACCTCTCACTGTCCACCGCATGGTGGCAGCTGAGGGCTCGCAGCAATTCAGGAAAGGCAGAGGTGACGCTTGGGCGAGGCTGGCGATAGCATGCCCTCCCCATGGGATTGTGAGAGTCGAGAAGAATGAGGAATTTAGACTTTATGTTCTTCTCTGCCGCCGAGACTTGGGTACAGGAGGAGTCCTCGTGACGGGGGCACGTGGGGCTGCCTAACGGCCAGGGAAGCTGGCATGAGGGCCAGGCAGCGGGACAGGGAACGGAGCACTGGGGACCGCAGCAGCTTGGTGAGGTGGAGGCCAAAGAGCTTCCACTGTGTACTCAGTTGGGTTTCTGTTTTTTCTTTCATTTCAGACAGGGCCTCACTCTGTCGCCCAGGCGGGAGTGCAGTGACTTGGTCCCAGCTCACTGCAGCCTTGAACTCCTGGGCTCAAGTGATCCCCTCTGCCTCAGCCTCCCTAGTAGCTGGGACTACAGGTGCGCCATGACGCCGGCTGTCTTTCCATTTTTTTGTACAGACGGGGTCTTGCTCTTGCTCAGGCTGGTCACGAACTCCTGGCCTCAAGCAATCCTCCCGCCTCGGCCTCCTAAAGTGCTGGGATTACAGGCGTGAGCCACCGCGCCCAGCCTTTGATCATTATTTTTTAAGATTTAAAAAATAATAATAAAAGCCCATTCCTTGGAGCAGAAAGCTCAGGCGGGGTTGCTCATCCACCCAGCGGTCGCCGAGGCTCTGAGCCAGGCAGCGGAGCTGCGGGATGGGTGCGGGGACCGGGGCACAAGGAACGATCAGAGTAAGTGAGAGCTGGAACTAGGAGACGGGAGGAACAGACCAGGAGGCCGACGGGAAGCATGGAGCTAAGGTGACGCAGAGGGAGTGCTGGTCACCGGGTCACTGCTGGGAGGGGTGCACTCACCGGGGACCCTGGGAGCCCTCGAACAGGGACAGCTCGTCTGGGGCGAAGTCGGTGCTGAGGAAGGCGAAGCTCTCCAGGATGCAGGCAGTCAGGCTCTCAGCCGACGCGTGCTCCCGCCGGCCTCCCCGGGGCTGCGGGCGGAGCAGCCAGGCCTGAGGGCAGGGCTCGGCCCCACTCGCCAGGCCAGGACACTGGCCACGGCCCTTGCTGCAGGCCTTGACGGTGTCACCGCCACAAGCCCCAATCCCACGCACCGTCCCTCAGCAAAGCCCAGCCACCGGGCCACGACGGGCACAGGGCACGGTGCTCCCCAAGGTCCCTCCTGAATGACCTGTGAAAAGATGCGGAGCAAAGCCTCAAGGGAGACAGATCTGAAAAGCCTGCCCCGAGTCCCAAACACCTGTGGGGACAAGGCAAATGACGGGAACGTAGAAGCAGTCCAGGCAGGGACCACAGGAAGCCAGGGAGACGTCTCCCCAAAGAGGCACAGCCGCGTTCTCTCCTGCACTTGGGAACGTGGGCCAGTGTGGCCGGATGGCTCAGTTTTCTAAGACAATCTAAACATCTGGAATTTTATGGGAAACCTCCCCGTTTTTAAATATGGACAAATTCCAAATTATTTGAAAGCTCTGGTATAGGTCAGGCAAACACTTCTTCGGGAGGCTCAAAAGCTCCCAGGTCAGCCTGGGGGTTCCAGGCTTCTCTCTGGGGAACGTGGAAGGAGAGATTTGTGTCACCCTCCGACACAGAGGAGGGGAGCGAGCTAGAGCCACTGCCAAGTCATTAGAGCCTCCCGGTGGCAGCTCCCTCCCTGGAGGTTTCTGTCTTCTTGTCCCCAACGCCTGGCTGTCTCCAGGGCTGGTTCCCCTGCGCACCCAGGCGGTGTCCCACACAAACCGCACCCAGGGTGCAGCCCAGGCAGAGGCTACAAACCAAAACGGGGATCCTCGAAGTGGAGCCCAAAGAGAAAACCCCGAGCAACAGAGAATCATATGGCTAGTTGCAGAGATTTTACCTTCCGACAGAGCAAAAAACGTACGTACGTGTGTGCGTATATATATACACATACATGCATATAGGCAGTTGATTCTCATTGTTCAAGGTAGTTTTGTCTTGTAAAGTCACAGCAAAAAAACAATTAGCGAATGCTGAACCATTGCTCCTAAGGGAAATACTGGGTTAGGCTCCTGTGAACCGTTGGTCACACCATTTTTATCAACTGATCAATATAATGAACCTTGTGTGCGTGTTTCTGTTTAAAGACACCTGTTTAACAGATATTGCTGATTCGTTAACAGCGAACTCACGGCCAACGGCACCCACCGCTCATGCCTGCAGGAAGCCCATCTAACACGCAGGCTTTCTTCGTAAGGCGCGTCGCAGCCCTGCCGTGCTTAGGAACGCTAGCCAGCGCTATACCTGGCGTTTAAGCACTGGAACCGTCGACGAAAAGCACAAACATTGGAAAAATGTGGCACTAAATAGACCCCGAGAAGGACGGTACGAGCGCTGAAACAAAAAGGCAGAACGTCTCGTCCAGCCTCAGCTGGGAACGCGCCCGTCAGGGGACTCGAATCTTCTGCCATTCTGCAAGTCCCCAACAGTGACTGTGGAAGGGCCTGGGGCACTGATTTGGGGTCACAAATAAATTTTAGCAAGTAGGTGAGTTCAAAAACACGGAATCCGTGAATAGTGAGGCTCAACTGTGTGTATGTGTGTAGACACGTGCACTCACGCATTTATAAACGGGTATTGTGGATTTCTCTAGAAAAATCAAACTAAAACCCAGGGTCTATAATCATTTTTATTGTTCTGACTAGGTCTGCCAAAAAAAGAAAAGTTCCTCAAGATGTTTAAAATTATGGTATTACTTTTGGATTTTTATGTAAAGCGGGTGTCATTTTTCAAAACGCAGGTGTGCCACGGAAGTCGCGTGCGTGCTGACCCGAGTCGTTCTGTGTGAAAGGGCTGTTAGAAAGTACAAGAAAGATGACGTTATTTCTTAAACTTTTTTCTTGAAATTTCCAGGCAGATCCTTTTGCAAGACCATGGCAGTGGTAAACGGCAAACATTTTTTAAAAAGTCACTGGCGGCTGGGCGCGGTGGCTCACACCTGTAATCCTAGCTCTCTGGGAGGCCGAGGTGGGCGGATTATTTGAGCTCAGGAGTTCGAAACCAGCCTGAGCAAGAGCGAGACCCCGTCTCTACCAAAAATAGAAAGAAATTAATCGGACAGCTAAAAATATATAGAAAAAATTAGCCGGGCATGGTGGTGCATGCCTGTAGTCCCAGCTACTCAGGAGGCTGAGGCAGGAGGATCGCTTGAGCCCAGGAGTTTGAGGTTGCTGTGAGCTAGGATGATGCCACGGCACTCTAGCCTGGGCAACACAGTGAGACCGTCTCAAAAAAAAAAAAAAAAAAAAGGTCACTGGCTATAAAATGAGAAACTAAACTTTTTTTCCACCTGTGCTGATTTGTAATGTTGAGGGTGAAGGTGGGGATGAAACAATTAAAACTCATGTTTGAAGAGAGCTATTAATTTCTCCGTGCCAATGTACATCTTGCACAAGAGAGCGATTTCATAAACTAATTGCTATATCAGTACATTTTATGTACATTTAAATTTATGTAAACAAAAAGTCAAATAGAGGAATCCACCCAGGTCCGCATCTCTGAGAGTCACCTGCCACCTAAGCCCTCCTGTGGGCTAGGAATGGCCCCGGGGGAGAGCCTGGATGAGGAACAGGGTTGGTGTGGGGTGCGTGGGGCCTCCCGCGAAGCCAGCTCTGACCCTGAGAACACTCTGAGTGTGGGTTCTTACGGCCACGCCGCAGCCCCCCCGCCCAGGTCAGAAGATGCGGGATGGTGGACGTGCAGTGGGTCACCCCTGTAAGCCCGGCTGCCTCCCAGGATCCTCCCAGCCCAACGAGGGCTGTTGTCGCCCCCACTTGACATACGAGGAAACCAAGGCTCAGAGAGACATCGCCCACCTGGGTCATGCAGGGGTGAGCCCAGGCTGCCTGGCCCCACCACAGCCCCCCTCCCAGCCGTCACGCCATCAGCAGAGCAGGGCCGCCGCCCGCGAGGGGTGGGTGTACCTGCAGCCGGTCCCTGAAGCTGAGGACCTGGTACTCCAGCTCCCGGAGCTGGGGCCGGGCCGTGTCCGCGGACCTCAGTGACTCCAGGACCTCCTGCAGAGGCCTCTCCAGGGCCATGCCGGGCCCATCCGCTCTGTCCCCGGTTGCTTCTTCATCTGGGTCTTTATGGCTACTCGAGATCGTGCAGGTGTGGAACAGGGGGCCCCGTGGCAGGTCGGGGCTCTCCGCCCCCAAGTTCCTCCAGCCAGGCTGCTCCACAAACGCACCTCCTGCCAGGTGGGCCATGTCTGGCAGGAGGCCCAGGGACAGCGGGTCCTCCTGGGCCTCCTCTTCAATGGAGGCATTGGGGCCGACGGCCAAGGGCAGGAACCCCGTGTCTGAGGTGGACGCTGACGTGCTGGTTTCCGTGTCTCGGGGGTCCTCGGAGCTGAAGGAGTCCATCTCGGGCAGCTCCTGACTCTGGCTCCGCAGGCCGGGACCCCGAAGGTCGCCATCAGACAGGTAGCCAAGGATGGAGGTGGCCCTCGGCCCACCTAGCAGCAAGGCCTGCTGCGCTGGCTGCCGCAGGACAGACTGGAAAGGGGACACGGGAGCAGCCTCACCAGCCACCCCGGGGACCGTGTGAGGCCCCTAGAGGGGCTTCCCCACCAGACTCGTGCTCTGCACACCACGCTCTCAGGTGACGGAGCTCTGCCACGGCGGCCAGCATCCCGGAGGCGGGGTAGGACCTGGTCCCCCTCTCCATGCTTGTCCCCTGTCACCCCCTCTAACTCCTTTGCAGCCTCAGCAGTCTCCTTGTTTCTCACACATTTCTACCACAGGACCTTTGCACCAGTTGTGCTCTCTGCCTAGAACGTTCTTCCCCATATGCCATCATGGCTTGTGCCCTCACCTCCTCAGGTCCTTACTCAGCTGTCACCCACCTTTCCTGGGAAACCTTCCCTGGACACCCTCTCTCCAACAGAAACTCCTGCCTGGCCCTAGAAGCCCCCCAGTTCCTGCTGTTTCCCATGCTCCTCACACGCCTCAGGCTGGCTGCGCGGTTCTCCGACTTTGATGTCTGTTTCCCCCCACAGAATTTAGCTCCCCGAGGGCACAGTCTTCGCCTGGCACACAGCAGAGCCTGGCACGTAGTTTTGAATGAAGCGAACCAATGAAGGGCCTGACACACGCAGTGTGCTTGTCATCACAGAGACGGTAACAGCTGTGATCACGCATCCTGGCCTTACCTGCCTGCTTCAGGGCCTCCACGTCAGGCCTCACTGACCCACCCCACACCCCACAAGGGTGGCACCGTTCTAACCTCAGAGGGTTAGTCCTCAGACCACACTGGTGGGGAGTCCAGTGCCAGAATCCGAATCCCTCGCCATGCCCTTCCCAGACCCTGGTCTCTGGACCAGTCGTGATGGATCGTGTTCGTGCAGTCTGTTGCTGTCAGGCGTTCTTTTAAGCACTTCATGTTTATTAACTCATTCAATGCTCACGATACTCCCATAGGGGCCATGCCTTTATTCTCACCTCTGATACAGAAATTGAAGTCCAGAGAGGCTGAGTGACTTGCCCAAGGTCACACAGCAGGTGAGAGGCAAAGGCAGTACTTGAACCCAGGCTGTCTGGCTGCAGAGCCCATGCTCTTGGCTGTAGACGATTTTTTAACCAAAGTATGCCGGGCCCCACCATGCCAGACAAGAAAGCGCCCTCTGCCTCCACAAGTTGGGGGCCTCGTGTGAAGCCACCTTCCTCACCAAGGCCTAGAGGGTAACAGGAGGTTCGTCCAGCTCAGCATCACCCTCCCCCTGGGCTGGACAGGATGTGCCTGGATTTTGTCCCTACTCTTGGGGCTCCTTGTTGCGAATGAGTGTGGCACCCCCACCCACACAGCAACCTCCACGTGCCAATGCCCAACCACACACCTTACAGGGGGCCAGCTCCCAGGACCCTCGCCGGGGCACCTGCTTTCGGGAGACACTCGCACTCACATAGGACGATTTGTGGACAAGGCTGTTTACTGCCCTGTCATTGGTGATAGCAAACAAAACGGAAACAACCTCTGTGTCTCGTTGAAGTACAGTGCAGCCAAGCGTGGACTGCGACACAGCGTCGGCAAGGAACGGAGCAGCCCTCTGGGAAGTGAGGGGGAACGATCTCCAACGTTCATTAGGTTTCAAAGGCAATAAAAGATGGAGGAGAACATGCATTTGCTTGTAGATGGCACAGGGTATGTCTGGGAGGATGTGGGAGAAACTGACAACAGGAGCTGGCTCTAAGGAAGGGACCCTGGTCCCTGGAAATCATGGGAAAGGGAGCTGTCCTACTGCCGCTATGCCAAGTAATAGCGCCGGAAACACACGTCAGCTTAACACAGGTAAAATGAGGCCAAGGCCGTGGCTGGGGGTGGACAGAGCCTGTGCCAGGTGTCCAGAAGCAGCAGCCAAGCCCAGGACCCAGTCTAGGATGGGGGCGTGGGAGGGCCGGCAGCAGAGGGGAAGTACAGAAAACCGCCCAGGATAGCCCCAAGGGCAGGCTTGCTACACCTGGGGGTGCCAGACTGCTCGGCCAGCCCCCACCTGCTGCCCCGACATCCCTGCCCCTGGGAGGAGCCTCACTCACCAGGTAGTATCTCTCCCGGAAGCTGGGGGTGCTCGGGGGTGTCCAGTTGTACAAGGAGCCCTTCCTGCTGCCCACGGAAACCTTGCCCGTGGGGCTGGGTGACACCAGGAGGCTCTCGCTATCAAACGGGCTGGAGGAGAGAACAGACGGCAGGGATGTCACCAGTGCCCGGAGGCCTCTCAGGCTCAGACGGGCCCCAGGGGTGTCTGTGGTTTGGGGCGGTCGTCTTCATCTTACAAAACAGTAACAGGTTTTCCTGAGCACACACGGTGCGCAAAGAGCTCTAGTAAATTCTCTACATGAATCCTCCTTTTTATCCTCATAACAAAACGCTATGGCTGGGAAATTATTAATATTTACAGAGGAGGAAGCGAAGGCTCTTAAGGATACGTAACTCGGTTAGGCCAGTGTCAACCAATCACAGGGACAGAACTGAACTCACACCCAGATTCTCTCACCCCTAAGCCTTAAAGGTCACCTAAAAGTGGTGCTAACGCCCCGGAGTCACCGCGCTTGACGGGCTTCAGTGGGAACGGAGATTTGGGGAGCGCCAGTGCCTCGCCCGAGATCACGGGTGCAGCCTGGAGACTCTCGGTCCCGTGGTCCCGACTCCCTCGGACACATTCTCAGGCTTCCATTGCCCTCAGCCAGATGGTGAGGGACAGAGACCGGCCATCACGTATGAATGACACCCGCCCTCAGCCCTTAAAGTCCCCTTTGAGAAGCTCAGCGGGCCAGCTGGGGACACTTAGTTCTGCCATTTCTGGGTAAACCGTGCCACAGCCCTCATCTGTAACGGGCACGGTGCAGAGGAACACACGTGACGAACGCACACAGGTCGGTGGGAATCCAAGGTGAGCGTGTGGAAGCAACGTGGCAAGTGACGCTCCCCTGGCCCCCACTCGCAGCCCGCCCAGCCCCGGCCTTGGAGCAGGTGGGTCCTGGTAGCCCCTCCCTGCCAAAAAACAAACCTGCTCGCTGCGTTTGCACAAGGGCCTAGCTCTCAGCCACAGGGCTGAAGCTCAGAGGCACTGCGGGCGCCTTGTCGGAGCCCTCCTCTCCTCCCCCAGCTCCCTGGAATTGCCTGGCCTCGCCCACGGCCCTGTACGCTTGACGGTCTCCCGGGCAGGCTGTGTCCGCAGCCCCGCCGGACAGGCAGCCCCCTGAGCTGCGGGTGGGTACGCGCCCAAACTCGCCTAGCTCGCAGGTGGACAGAGCAGCAGCTCTGCTGACCCCTGGGCTCTGACGCCCACCCCAGGGAGGAAGGAGAGAGACCAGCCAGAGCCAGAGCAAGCCCAGGACGGAGAAGTGCCTCTCGGCCCTGCCATGCCTGCCTGGGAACAAGGAGGGAGCTCCCAGGAAAGGCGGCGCTTGTCTGGAAGCAGGAGCTCTGGAGAGCACCGACCTCAGACGGGCTGGACCGAGCCTGGCCCAGGGCAGGGTGTCCCCACGGACATCGGCCCTTGGGTCTGTGGCCCAGAGGGGGTTCGAGGAATCAGAACTCCGAGGGGCGGGCAGGGCTGCCGAGCAGACCTGGGCCTCCCTGGCTGAGGGCGCGAGCGAGGGCAGGGGTGCCCGCGGGCAGGGAGCTGGGGCAGCACGGGGCTGGGCGGGGTCGGGTTGGCCGGCTGGGGAGGGCCACGGCGCGGGCCGGACTCACTTCCACAGCACCTCCAGCTGCAGCTTGATGGTGCCCAGCTCCGTGATGTCCAGCACGATGACCTGCGGCCGCGTGGTGAAGAAGTCGGCAATGTCGCAGGTGACTGCGCCCACGGCCAGCGAGCTCAGGCCCCGCAGCTCGGTCACCTGGGGGTGGGGGCTGGAGGGTGGTGTCTGAGCCGAGCACCCTGGAGCCCCAGCCCCGCCCCAGGCCCCGCCCCACCTTGATGTCGAAGTTCTCGTGCAGGGTGGGGATGAAGGCCTTCTCTTCCTCGTCCCAGGTCTGGCTGTCATCCGACTCAATCCTGCCCTTGAGCTTCCAGCGCTGGCGGCCCAGGCGCATGAGCACCTGTGGGTGAGCGGAAGAGAGGGGACATCAGTGACCCAGGTGGGCACTTCTTTGCCACCTGCCTGGGGCCCTCCCTGCCAGGCAGAACCCCAGCCACAACCCGGGTTCCCCGCAGCTGCACAGGGTGGCCGTACCTCATACTGGTCCCCGGGACACAGGCGTGCGTAGCCCACCAAGCCTGGAACACAGAGACAAGCTAGCTTTCCCTCTGCCCCTGCCAGGGGGTCACAGGCCCTCACTGGGTGGATCCCTCCAGGTGTGGGGTCTCACTTCGTCATCCAGGCTGGAGTGCAGTGGCCTCGTCCTAGCTCACAGCAACCTCAAACTGCTGGGCTCAAGCCATCCTCCTGCCTCAGCCTCCCAAGTAGCTGGGATTGCAGGTGTGAACCACCGAGCCTGGCCCTGAGTGTAGGTTTTCAGCTTGGGAGGAGGGGATGGCAGGGGTAAGCCATCACCATGGAAATGGACAGGAGAGTGCCAGGGCCTCATGGCTGAGGCTCAGAGAGGAATGGGACTGGCCTGAAGTCACATGTCACATGAGTGCAAAAGCTTGGGCTGGGCCTAGATGGCTGGGATTCTGGCCAACGCCCTCTACCCCCTGCACAGGGCCCCCAAGAAGGCCTGACGCCCCATCCAAATTGGGCTCCACCTGTCCCTCCCCCCAGCCCAGTTACCTTTCATCCTGACGTGGAACTCGCCCAGGTGAACCTCCAGGGCGCCCTCGATCAGCCACATGTCCTGCAAAGCGCCCGCAGGCGGCTCAGCTGGCTGCTGGGGGCTAGGCCACAGGCCCATCAACCGTCCTGCAGCCAGAGGCCACGGGCGGAGACACAGGTCCTCCAGGCCCAGGGGGCCTGCCCCGCAGCCTCCCCGCCCCGTGCCCGGCCCACCTCGGTGCACTCGTGCAGGCTGCGGCCCAGCTCCTGCAGGCTCTCGCGGGAGGCGCGGCTGGGCGGGCACCTGGAGAAGGCCTGCTGCATGTTGCAGGCGCCGTCACGCAGGCGGCACTGGACGCAGTAGCCTTCGTAGAGCTCGTCCACCTGCGGCGGGCGCACAGGCTGGGGCACGGCCTATGCCGAGAGGCGGGTGCCACGCCTGCCTGCCGACCTCTGCCCCTCTGGGACAGGCCGTCCCTGAGCTACATCCAGCCCGGCCTCTGGCCGTGGTCACCACCCTGCGCTGTCCCACGCACAGCACTCTAACCTCCCCCGTGAGCGTGAGCCCACAGGGACACGGCTGCCTCCTCCCTCCGCGCCCAGCACCTGGCAGCGACTGGCACACAGTGCACAGTAAACACGAGTGAAATGCACCAGCGTGTCACTTCCCCTCTCTCTGCCCCATGTGTCAACTGTACAACAGGAGTTGGGCTGTGGTATCCGGCCACCACTGGAGGACCAAAGCAGGACCGTGAACGGGTTCTCAGACGCAGAGCTCAAGGGCCCTGCTGTGTGTCCTTGGGCAGATCCTTGCTCTTCCCTGGGCCTCTGCTTCCCCATCCGTACAGTGGGGTGGGGGGCTCACCCTTCCCGTCCCTCTAAGGTTGAGCATGAGGTCTTTCTGCACAAACCAAGGAAACAGCCCACGCAGTCCTGGGGGAGCCCCAGACAGCCCCCAGCACCCATCTCAGGGCTGAGCCCTGCAGTCCTTCGACCATCCCCAGGCTCAGCTCGGCTCCCTCCAGCTGCCCCCATACCCCGAGGCCCTTCCCCCTGCTCAGAGGGAGACTCCCCAGGACCTGCTAACCCAGCTGAGGCCCTGCAAGCGGAGACTGCGCCACCCCGCCCCGCCCTGGGACACCCCAGGAGCCGCTGACCTTGCTGATGTGAAACTCCATCTTCCGAATGTGCCTTTCCACAGAGCGCGTTTGCTTCTCCCGGAGAAAGAGAAGATGCTTTAACAGTGGCCTGGGCCAGCAGCCAGCCCTGCCAGGCACCGCCACCCTCCTGCAGGTCCTGACGCAGGGAGCTGGGCTCGATGCCAGGCCAGCCCCTCACCACCCGTGAGAGAGGCTCGTCGCTGAGCCTCAGTTTTCCCATTTGTAAAATGGGGAGGAGACCCGGGTATTTCCCATATAATGAAGCCGGGTACCCCATTCAGTGCAGACGTGGTGCTTGTCCCCCAGGCCCCACTCACCGTGCTCCCCACATGGGGACTCACCTTGTCCAGGTCGTAATAGAAAGCCTGCGGGGGAGAAGGGGGGGAGGGAGGAGGTGTCAGGGCCCCGATTGCTCCTCCAATGCCCACGAGGCTACATCCTGGGGCACCCGAGCTCAGAGCCGGAGGATGACAAGCCGGAGCCTGCAGCCAGCCCTGCTCCCCTCCCTGAGGTCTGCAGACGTGGGCTGTGTCCAGGCCAAGGAGGCAGCGGGATCAAACCCGTGCACTTCACATGGGGCACTTCTAGGTCTGACTCTGCCGTTTCCCAGCTGTGTGTCTCTGGCAGGTCACTCAGCCTCTCTGAGCCTCCGTTTCCTCACGTCGAAGGGGTTTGTGATCGCACCCACCCCACAGGGCTGCAGCGAGTAAAGGCACGGCAGGTGCTCTACGAAACGGAACCCGTGACTTGATTGTTCGAGGGCTGGCTTCTGCTGCGACCAGAACTCGGCACCACCCAGCTCCGCCTTAGGGAACAGTGAGCTCCTAGGTCTGTCCAGCAGGGCCCAGGGTGTGACTAACAGAGAAGGAACATACGGCTGGGGGCAGGCGGGCCTTTCTGTAAAGGGCAGAAAGTCAAGACTTCAGGTTTAGGTGGGCCGTGCAGCCTCTGCTGTGACAGCTGTGCCACTGTAGTGTGACAGCAGCCATAGACAATATAAGCGAGCAGGTGTGACCAATAAACACCTTTTTTTTTTTTTTTAAACAAAAACAGGCTGTTGTTTGCCGACGTGGATCAGAGTCACCACCTGTGAGCCTGGGGGATCCCGTGAGGCGGGAGATGCACTGGGGGGAGACGTGGGGGGCCCTAAACCATGATTTCATTTTATGGGACAACTACGGGCCCCAAACTTCCGTACGCGTTTATTGAATATATGACCAGGGAGAAAACCACACAAAGATAAGTACAAAGTTCTCCTCAAGGGTTACACAGGGTGGGACCGAGGAGATCGGGAAGGGGTGTCAGTCGAGAGGGAAAGGAGGACTAAACCCTCCGAGAAGCCTGTTTCCCATGTGTGCTATGTTCGTGTGAAATCCTGCATGTGAGATCCTGAAATTAAAACTCCACTGGAGAAGAAATAGGAAAGATCCCAAGCCTTCGAAAGGAAGGGTGAGTGCCCAGCCGCTTTTGGGAAACAGATGTCTGGTTAAACGAGAACCAGCAGCGTCCGGGGAGGCAGGACCCCACGTGAGCATCTCGTGTGGCTCCAGTGCAGTCACCCATCCCTGGCCTCAGTGTGTCCGTCTATGAAATGGGAGCAGCTAAAACATACATGGATTCACGCACTCGCCTACCTTAGAGTTACTTCTAGAACCAGGAGAAAGGGGAGAGGGACGCTGTGGGGTGAGGATCTGTATCTGCGTGAGGGGAGGGTGCCGGGAACTTGGGGGGGCATCTTGGCAGCACTTCCTCCCCCAAGCTGCCGCTGCCAGACCACCCATCCGCCGAGGGCGAGGCACGCTGAGCCTGCCAGGCCTCTCCCCGCCCTGTCGGCTGGCACACGCCACACGCGTGGCTGGGGCCCTTCCTCTCCCACGCGGCTGATCCCAGGCCTCCCCCGCGGGAACCAGGACACAGAGGTGGCCGGCTGCTGCTCTGACAGCAACTCATCTCCCCTCCCCGGTTTCCAGCCCCGCACTGGGGCTGGCGGCCTGCGTGCTTGGGAGGAGGGCCTCCTCGCTTTCGTTTCCAGAGTCTCGACCGTGAGGGGTAGGTGGGGTTTTCACAGGGCGGCAGTGGGCACGAAGAGGGGGGACTCCCCAGACTGGAAAGAGAGACCCTCCTGGCCCAGGGGACAGAGGCCCCGGAGCAGTGGGACTCTGGCAGCATGAGCAGGTAAAGTATAGGCGACCCAATTAAAATTTAAATTTCTGATAAACAACAAATATTTTAGGATGAGTGTGTCCCAAAGGTCACCTGGGATATACTTACACTAAACAATTATTCGTTATTTATCTAAAAGATAATTTAACCGGATTCCCCTTTTTGTTTGTTTTGCTTTTGGTCTTTTGCTAAACATGGCTCTGCTAAGGGGGTGGCCAAAGCCCAGAGCAGGTGAGCTTCGGGCTAGACAGGGCCAGGGTCAGCCTCAAAGGCGCTGCCCTGGTGACGGCAGGAAAAACCGCCGAGCAGCTGGACACGGGGAAGCACACAGGCTCGATCAAGGACAGCGTCCGGGTCACTGTGACACACGTGCGATTCTACACCTTTCCTGGCATCACACAGGTGCCCCCGTTCCAGGGCACCCCGGGAGCCAAGGTCTATAAAATAGGACCCTCTAAAACACGTGCACCTCTAGACGTTTGCCTACCCCAGGGTTACTGCTAGAACCAAGAGAGAATGAGGTGTGTGACCTGCTGTACCTGCCTGAGGGTAAATTCATCAGGGTCGAGGTAAAGCGAATCCAGCATAAGAGTCTATTCCGTGAGCCTCGCGGCTCCTAGACAGATTCACAACCCAGGCACGGGCCAGGGGGAGGGAGGGGCCGCCTGAGAACCCCCCGCCACGGCTGCCTGGGCGGGAGGGGACGGGGAGGGCTCTCACCAGCCTGGAATTCCGCCGGGTGTCCTTGTGGCGTCCAGACAGGTAATCGAGCTCAGCCTGCTGGACACACAGGTATTCCCTGCAAAGAGAATGAGGAAGAGTTTTAAATTGAAAAGGAACGAGAAAAGGAAGAGAAGCAGGCCAGGTGGCCCGTGTCCCAGCGCGGACAGCAGCCACAGTTCCCAGTGAGGCTCAGAGGACACCTGGCGGCTCCCTCGCACTGAGGGCCGCGTGCCCAGCACTGCGCAACGTGGGTGACAGGGAAGCCCTCGGTCAATCCCCGAGCCCCACGAATAGGTTCTACTGTTGTTAT